CCCGTTGTGTAGCTTTTGTGCTTAATTACAAAACAAATAAACAAACACATCTGACTAAATCTAAAAGAACATTTATTTCACTTCATCAACAAGATGTGTTCAGATCGAAAATTTTACTGTCATGGGGTTGTAATGAAACTAATTAATATTTGAAATATTTGAGAATGTATAATTTATTCTGACTTTCTTTGAACAACGGGTTATTGTAACCGCCGCTGTTTATCTGTATCTCATGTTGTCATGGTAATTAGTATATATCTGTCAACATCCTAATCTGCTGGAATTTATTTCCTAACATGTTTTTACAATTATTAGTTTATATATTTTTTCTCTCTCTGTGAACGAGGCTTAAATTAAAGAGATTTTTCAAATTAATATCTATCGTGCAGTGCACGAGTCCCAAACTGGGAACCGCAGGAAATTGTCAGAGTAGCCTTTGCAAACACACAAAAAACAAAACAGTTATAATTTTTGCAGAAAAATTGTTCAGTTCTTGATAAGTAAATAGTTCTTCAGGTTGAGTAGCAGTGCAAAATGTTTCAACATAGTGTTTAGCTCTACTTATAGTGACCCACCTCCTGATTATTCTACTGGCAAAACGTTTTTACTATTTATGCTTGAAACCTGAGAAGAGAGCTTTGATATAAAGCTATAATTGTGTTACTTAAACTTTACAATGTAACTTAGACGTCAACGTGTTTTGTTATCATCACTGCTATCAGGTCGGCTCAATGGTAAGCCCGAGGGCTTACAAGTGAAGTTACAACACTAAATATTAAGGTTCTATTCCTACTGTTGGCACCCTTTTGTGCATATTAAACCAAAAAATCAAGTGAAAATTGCAATAGTTTAGGCGAAAGTCTTAATGAAGTGTTATAAATTGAGCTCTTAGTTAAATAATTAAAACCCAGAAACTTGAAATAAGTTGGGCCTGACATGGCCTGATGGTTAGGGCGCTTGGCTTGCATCTGCAGGTGGGAAATTTGAATCCTGTCTCCAAACATGCTCGCC